AAGTACGAGTACCTTCATTTAACTGCACATAGACCGCTAATATTACTGCACCGTGATATCCCTGGGAATTCATTAAAAAAAATACAACTGATATTTAAAATGTTTTATTTCTCAGTTTAACAATAAGCAATTGCTTTAAAATGTAAACATTCTAACAATAGAAGCCACTGTCAGAATACACTCATACAAATGCTATTTTGTAGATTTGGTTGTTGTTGTGCTCCGGTGCAAGCTCCAGTGCTAATAAAGTTATTATACTCCGTGTGGCAGCGAGTTTTTAAGTTGCTGGTGTTATACTTTGTTTTGGACCCACCTCGTGACAGTTTTGCCTTATACAACGTACAGTTCACCTTACCCTTGTCACTCGTTTACTTAAAGAAACTGCCATACGGCCGACAACTGCTTGCCGCTAGCTTTCCGCTAAGCTACCAGCAAAGCTAAGCTAACAGCAAGCGCTTTCTTGCCATTTGCTGTCGTGACGCTAATGTAAATAAAACATATGGGTATCGGGTCCTATGGTACAAGTATGAGTACGAGTACAAGCCTATGGGATCTAAACGATACCCAAAACCTGTCTCTGTGCATCCCTAGTTTTTTTCTTTCAAAAGTGCCAGACCGAATGTGCTATAGTACAACACTCGGTCCAGCTGGAGGCACTAATTCTAACTTCAGAGACTACTTCGGGATCCGAGTTAAGTTTGAGTTTCCCCTCCTGTTTACACCAGACTACCCTGGCCAACAGCTCGAGCATGGATTGCGTTCTTTGCATCAGAGTCAATGTGTATAAGTGTGAGAGTAAGTTAAAGTATGCGACTGCTGTAGAGACGCGTGTGAAAATGCCTCACAGCGGTCACAGCAGGAAGACGTAATGTGACACACAATATCACGTCCCACCAGACCTCATCCCCCACTCCCCACCACCCACATCATCGAACCCTCTCAACTGGGCTTTACAACCATGCTCAGGCCCACCTCTCCCAACCGTGCCAAAGCCCAATTCCTACAGTCACATAGCACGAAAGGGCAGAATCTCATCGCGATCTGGGCCTAGACCCACTTTAACCGGGCTTTAGGGTGTGCATGTGGCCGCAGTCTCAATCTGAGTGAGTCAGATAGGAGGAAAAAGACGGGATGCACTGTATGGAGTGCACACGTTCACCTGCTCACACTGCAAGACGAGAGCGCATTGTGAAGTGAGTGTGTGAGCAGAAAAGTGTGTGCGCTGCTATTTCTACAGTGAATTAGAATTCATCACAAGTCAGAAATTTATGGTCCATTTTAATAAAAATGTCCATGCTGGGGGGACGTGCTTTGTGTGGATTGGCTTTCATTCGGTTTTTGTCGACTTAACCTCTTTACTAACACCGGCGCGCCTGCGGCTGTTTTTATGTTTTTAAATGTTCTGCTGGCAATAGCAGATGTATTTTGAACACCAACCGCTTATTTTCTTATCTACATTTATATACAAGTGTAAACCACATCAGACTTTGCATTCAAAAGATATAACACATAATGTGGGCACAAAATAAATCAATTCCGAAATAGTTTTTTACCTTTGGGCTTGTGCTGTACAAATAAATCAGCTCTCCTCCCAGCTTGCAATACATCATTCTCTCTGGAACAGTCCAAAGGAAAATTATATCCACTTGTATTTCCCAAAGTAAAATCCATTCTGCAGAAATAATCCAAAAATGTGCATTTATCTTTAGCGAAAAAAACGAAAAAAAAGAGCACAGATGTTACTCTTTCACTTTTAACGGACTTTTAGCTTTGTTTTTCACCCAAACATCTGGTATCCACGTGTTCCTTAGCTCCTTATCTTTCAAATGAGACTACTCCCGAAAAGCTAGACCAATTTTTGGGTCTGCAAGAGGTCCCGCGAGTGCAGCTAGTGCTGCTGTTTGCGCATTGATCACTGATCTTTGTTGTGATCCCAACTTGTTTGCTTTTACTTCCGGGATTTACGATTGACATGTCCTTGTAGCCAATGAGGAAAGCTTTCGAACAAGGGGTGGGACAATGGTGTCCTGTCTTATGTTGGGCCTGGACAATTGTGCGTACTGGAAGATAAAAGACGCTCTCGAAGCTGCAATGAATTTACACTCATAAAAAAATAACTTTGACATTTAAAAAAGAAAAACACACATAGATTAGTAACTTATAAGTACCAATAATAAAAAATATCGTTTTTATGATGATTAAATGTAAGTAAAGATATTTGGCACAATTTGGCACACTTGTGCCAAATTGTGCCAAATGTGCACTACTTGATGAAAAGGAGAAACTGCATAAAAACTATAAAACTTAGAAGTCTGAAACTTTAGACAGTTGTTGTCAACAACACAATGAACAGAGGGTTTGAATATTGTGAACTTACAATGAAGTATGCCTTTTTTAGGGCCTTTAGAAATTGAAAATGTTAGGCGAGGCTAAAAAAATTGGGTTTTTTTCCCTAACTTCAAAGGATGCAGAGGAAAATAGGGATGACAAACATTATTTTAGTGTTTTTTTACATAAACTAGAAGGCTCTAGCTTTAAAATGATGCATCACACAAGCATGTGAGATGTAAGATGTGTTTTTAAATAAGCAAAGACATTTGGGTATGCCCAACCATTGTGCACGAGCCAAAATGAGGCGGATGTTAAGAGGTTAAAGTAAATCAAATGATGACTAAAACTAAAATAAATTCGAGTCAAAAGGACAAAGACTAAATTACAATTTCTTGTCAAAATTTACACTTCTGTGGTTTCATACTCACATTATTATACAACCAGATATTACATAATGGACAATAGAGAAACCAATGAATAGCAATAATGTCACAAAACACAAGGCAACTGAGAGAACCGTGGGGAAAAACGGGTGTGTTGTTTAAACCTGTGTCTGCTGTTCACCACGGGGAGGGCAGGAAAATGTCAAAACTATGTCTGACTTTTCAAATAAACCTTTGTTCACACCGCCAACGCATGGACGTGTGTCGATGGACGCATGGACACAAGATTTCAGCTGCATGAATTAAGAAAATAACAAGTTAACAAGTTGCTAACAAGTTTAAAGTAGCTGCTTTTTTTCTTATTAAGTTCTCCTCCACGAGTGCAGATCCGCGACATCTCTGTGCCCGCCACTGCCACGCCACAACAACGCGTTTGCCGCACTTTACAAACCTGCAATGCACATGTCAATATCTGCACAGACATGCAACGTTTGAATGGCCCTTTGTCAATATTGTGAACGTTTAGACGCCCCTTAAGCCTTCTGAAGTCACAGGAACCCAGGGAATTACAAAATAATGAATTATGGAAAGTTGATTTTTTTTTTTTTTTTTCAGGGACTAAGTGCGAGCAACAGCTTAAACTCTGCTTCACTCCCCCGAATACGGCTCCACAGCTCGTTATGCTGTATTTATGCGCTGTGCATTTTCTAAAACCTTCTTTCCCTGACCCAAATAAAGAGTCTTTCTACCACAGCAGCATGTGTTGCTCAGCGTGTGAAGAAAACTAAAGGCACCCGGAGATTTTTGGTCACAATTAGAGTTTTCATTCTGTGGAAATGAGCTGATTGGACTACCCATTTCCAATCTATATTGAAGTTCTAGTATAAAACTTCTACCATAAAAAAGGTACTATTCAAGTAAACAAAATTAGAGCTTATTGTAAATCGAAAAGGACTTTTGGATGGGAATCGAAACATCTATGCTGAATATATACAACTATTAAAATCACTTCAAGAGACATTAAATGAGGGACACTTAGAACTTATGATAAAGACTTCTAGAAAAATTGAGACTTAAAAGGTCGAAAGAAGTTGAAAATGGAGTTTAATGAAAAATTTGAAAAATACATTATTGAACATTATGAAAATGAAGGACACTGAGCTTGTTTATGTTACTAACATGTTGTAAATATGTAGGAAATGCAAGCGCTTGTGTGTTGCAAGAAAGTGAGTAAAAGTAAAGAAAGTAAACTAATAAAATAAGATGTTCAAAGAAGGGGAGTGTTCAACTTCATCCCACTCCTTTTTGTTTTTTCAGTGTTCTTAAGACCAGTTTTTTTTTATTGTGCATAGTGTACACTCTTTCATTGTGTGCTTGAAAAAAACTACAACTATAACAATGACAATTAACACAAAATATGGCATTGTAAAATCTGTCCAAAAATATATTATGTCAAAATCTCTAAGAAATTATGTCTTGTCCCACACTCAACATGACTATTTTAATTCAGTGTTTGGAATCCCATGAAAGAACTGAATTTCCATACACTGCCTAACAAGTGGAAGAGACGTGCATCTACCGCCCCCTGTCTTTGAAACCTTCCAGAACTGACACTCGACCACAAAACAAGCAAAAACATCTGAAATACACCACTTTGGGACCCTTGAATGTTTTTAACCACTGCCATGGCCACTGCTTAAGCCCACTAACCAGTAACTTAGGCTAAACAACAACATAACAAGTCTAACCAACCTTTTGATGTGCATTATCAGCCTCTGCGCGCATCAAATCAACTGAACAACTGCAGAATATGTCCATGCATGCAATGAAAACCCGTTGTAGAAGACAGATGGAACATATACATATACAAAAGGCAAGACACAGCGCGCGTAAAGTAGTGCGTAAATGTCCACATGCAGCCAAAGCATCATTTAGAGGAAAACAAGAAAGTTGGCAGCGGGATTTCCAAACAACGCGACAAGCAGATGGGACTTTTAGATCACTTTAAGCACACAGGGATAAAAAGCAAGCTGGAATTTAAGTGCAAGTAGAAGGATGCTTTTGATGTTGCAAAAAAGGGTTAGCATTAGCAAGATGTAGCAGCAACGTAAGCGTTCACCAGCGCCGGAAACGTCAAATAGTCCAGCAAAGCGTGTGTGTGTGGTGGTAAAGCATAATAATACAGAAATATATGTAGTGTTGTGTTCGTTTTGAAGGCGCAAAGGTGTGTTTGGACCGGGAATATGAATGGAGCTATACCGGGGTATTGAAATGCAGCGGGTATTCATGTTCCCGGGTGGAGCATCTCGCTGCACAAAAGCGAAGCACTTGAAGCCAGGCTCAGGCCGACTCAAAGCGGGGACAGGAGAGCGCGACACGGCCTGTTCTGGGTCAGGGCGGTCGGGTTCGGGTGTGCGCGGGTGTGCGGATATGTGGGGAGAGAGCGCAGAGCAGAGGAGCGGGCAGAGAGCAGAGGCTGAGGCAGGGAACACTCACCTCGGGTCCGACAGAAGCCATGGTGGAGCCTGGACTGAAACCGCGCCCCCCTCAGCCCACGTCATGCACATGCAGACCGGGTTCTGCTGGGTACATGCGACTGCTGCTGCTGCTCCTGCTCCTGCTGCTGCTGCTGCTGAGGGAAACAAGGGAGGAAACAAAACAAATATGGAATGGAGGGACAGTGTTGGGAAGTAGCTAAATACGAGTGCAGGCTTGTCCAAACTGAGGCCCGCGAGCCAATTACGGCCCTCGATGTCATATGAGTGGCCCTCTGCCTTGCTAATTGAATGTAAGCGAGATCTCGTTAGACATCTGAAGCTAAGCGGGGCAAGGCCTGGTTAGTGCTGTGATGGAAGACCTTTGGGAACACCAGATGCCACAGTGGAGCTGCTCCAGATGTAATGGGCCAAATTGTTGTTGTGTCCTTAGAATCAGAATCAGAATCCTTTTTATTGCCAATGTTATTGCCACAAACTAGGAAGTTGCTTTGGCTCTCGGTTAGAGGTGCAACGGTTCATCACTGATCCGTGATCCGTTCGGTTCAACGTCTTCGGTTCGGTACAGACGTGATCCGCGGTTTGATTTATGAAAAAAAAGTTGTGCGCACGTTGTTTAGTCCACACACAGCGCGGTCATTGCGGGCGGAGGAACGGAGATGCTTGAAAGCCCTGCGTCATTTAAATCCCCAGTATGAGAGCATTTTGGCTTCACTGTAACTACACTGATGATTAATATTCGACAAAACTGTCACGATGTGTAAGCACTGTGGCACAAGAAAGACATGAGTGAAAAAAGCGTCTCAACGACCACCTATTGTCGCGGCATTTAAGCAGCTCCTTTACGCACAGTCAGACCGGGCTAAAGTCAACTCTCCCGCGCATCCTCAGCTGCGCTCACGACTGACGCTTGGACGTCCCGCGGAACCTATAATAGATCCATGAGCGGAACCGCTCACTTCATCACTGCAGACTGGGAGATGAAAAGTCTGGCGCTGAAGACACGCCCCCTCTACGACAGTCACACTGTCACACAGCGCAGGTACTGACACAAGCAGCGGAGGAAGACAAAGGTCCAGTACTAATATCCCAGTCACAACTGATAATGCCAAAAATTAAATAAATTCAGTGAATGAGGCTTGGCCCAGAATGGAGCGCCTCCTTGGGAGAATCAGGAAGGTGGTGTAATATATGAGGGTAAATATCCTCATAAAGTGCCTTCTTATGTTGCACTTTGTGTTGTTTTTCATTAATTATGTTAAATAGACATAATTGGATGGATGGAATATGCCTTCCATCCATCCATCCATTTCCTTCCCCTTAATTCATTTCTAGGTCAGGGGTGGCAGTCAGAGCAGGTGCCGAGTCCACATGAGCTGTGTTTATTAAAAAGACAAAACTTTTTTTTAGAAAAATGAACCGAAAAATGAACCGAACCGTGGCCTCTGAACCGAGGTACGAACCGAACCGTGATTTTTTCAAACCGTTGCACCCCTACTCTCGGTGCAAACAAGTTAAGCAGAATAAAATCAAAGGCATGCATAAATAAAAAACTACATAAATGTCTTCAGTTTACAATATACAAGTGCACTAGGTGCACACAATAGACCGTTAAGAGTGCGATAGAGTGCAGTAAAGTGACGGTCATGAGGGCAGAGGTCAGCGATGGTTTATGAAGTGTTCAAGAGTCCAACAGCAGAGGGGAAGAAACTATTCTTATGGCAGGAGGTTCTGGTCCTGATGGACCGCAGTCTCCTGCCTGAGGGGAGTGGTTGGAATAGTCCATGTGCAGGGTGAGATGGGTCAGCAGTGATACGACCAGCCCGGCCTCGAGCTTGGGCGACGTACAGGTCCTGCAGCGATGGGAGGCTGCGGCCGATCACCTTCTTTGCAGAGCGCACAATGCGCTGTAGTCTCTGTTTGTCCCTGACACTAGCGTCTAGCGTACTTGGGAAAGATACTTCACCCACATTGCCTGGAATGAGTCAGGTGTGTGTGTGAATGGTTGGTGGAGATCGGAGGGACTGATGGCACTGATGGGTGCCTCGCTACTGTCACTACAGTAGTACAGTGGTGATACACTGTGTATGGAATGAATGTATAAAGACGTGAAACATCATTGAGTGTCCAAAAAAGTGCTATATATAAAACTGATGCATTATTAATGTATGGAACTAGCTCATGTGTGCATTGGCTCCACCCCCTGGTCTGCTTTTATAAAAAAACATTTTGGGGTTCTGTTTGGTACTCTTGACATATTAAACAACCTGGAGACACTTGCTCCTCTCTCCATCCACACTACCGCTTGAGCAATTACGCTAAAACAAAGTAGTCTTTGAGATCCTAAACACAATTTCATCAAGCAAACTTCAGCTCAGACAATAGCTCAGAACCTCTAGATTTCAATACAACATTCTACATGGTGCTAATATAGCTGATGAGATAAAAAATATGTTTTCATTCAGCCAACTTCAGCTTCATCATAGTTGATTTTAAAGCTCAGAAAAGCCTACTAGTCAAAATAGTTTGATCATTTGGGTCACCTGGACAGGCCTTGTTAACTCAAGTACTCTTACTACAAAGTTTCCAGAATCTGTCTCTGCTAAAAGTTGTTGTTCTTCACTTTCTTTCCATAAACAATACCTTTTTTTTGCACCAAGATAAAGAGTACTGTAACCTTTTGTCATTACCCAAAGCTCATGACCGGCAGGAATATACATTGAGCCGTAAATTTATAGATGTGACTGCAGACGCTGCTCCCTCTTCGCCACAACAGTCCGACACAGCCGCCGAATCGCTGCACACACTGCACCGATCTCACTGTCGATCTCCCGCTCCATCCTTCCCTCCCAGTGAACAAGACCTGAGAGTTTTGAACTCCTCCTTTTGTAAAGTGGATAATCCATTCCTTAACATCATGAGCCCTGATCTTTGGACTCTTAAAGTTCTGAAACAACGACATACAGCACAAAGTTAGTATACATATTTTGGACGTGTCAGCTTTTGTCAAGTCTCATAACAACAGAGGGGGCAGTGCTACCAATGCTAAGAAAAGAACAAATCAGCTCTAACAAATAATAGTACATTACTTCCCTAAAACAAAAACGCACTGCACAAAGGAAGCTTCTGCTTCTATGACACAGTATTGTCACAGAGCCATAAGATAACTGATATAGCTACGACTTACGGCATTTAAGCTAACTTAGATAAATAAATTGGTTACATTATTTCCACTCAAAAAAACAAACTATATTTCAAGTACTATTATGTTCAACTGGAAAATAACTACTAGGCATTGCACTGGATGAACTGCAGAAGTTTCTAGGGATTCATTTGGTCATGTCATACTCAAATACCCAAAATGTACAAGCCTATGCAGATTTGAAAGTCTTGTTTTAGTTCTATGCTGATTAGCACCAAGTTCCTCATAGCTTTTCAGGCATTTAGTTAGTGCAATGAATGTGTTTTTCTTTTGTTTATGTTTCAGACAACACATTTTACAGTTTTTGAATGTGTTAAAATAAGAAAAATACAAAGCTAAAGATAAAATCAAAATGTCCAACAGTGTTTACAGTATTCTTATTCCGTGACTCAAATGCACGTTGTCCACTCTAGCCGACACGTCACCAACTCCATAAGGAAAATGTATGTGTTTTCGAAATTATAATATTTTCTATCTTTTCATTGCTCGAGAGTAATTAAAACACTTGGGGGAAAAATCTTGAAGAAGCATATCATAATTCATGCGTGAAAGAGTTAATAAAAGAGATAACTTTTTACATACCTTTAGCAAGTCTCATAGCAACGGAGCAGCTGGGTGTTGCCAGGGTAACTACCATAGACTGTGAATAGGATAACAATGTAAAAATAATTAATCCATGGAAACAACCAGCAGCTTCTAGTTACGGAGAGCGGGGGTAACTTATATGAATTACATTAAATACATTTTGATGGCTTTCAAAAAGATATTAGATCTTACACCTGTATACTTTTTTGCTTTTTAAAATACGTAAACGTCATTTCAAATATGGGAGGTATCGTTGGATAAATGTATTTTCAAGGTGTCAGTTGTGAATAAGCATTTAAAAAAAAAAATAAAAAAAATTTCAGGCTCATGTTCGTGAAGACCCCGACAGAGGACGCTGTCACAACGCAAAGCTTGGTTTGTATTTATTTATTTTTTTTGTTTCTTTTTTTTTGTTTCTTTTTTTTTTGTTGTTGTTTGGTTTGCCCCCCTCCGGGGTGGTAAGCTATGCAAGCTAAGAATGTAACCTGAAGTAACTAGCTTCCCGAGACACACACGGTACAGTAGGTGGCGGTATGCACCTAAGCTGCTGGTTGCCACCCGCCAATAATCGACAGAAGAAGAAGAAGAAGAAGAACAACGCAAAGCTCACTTCCGGATCGGTGACGTCACATCTGCAGTTGTCAGGGGAACCTACGGTGCGCGTTCGCGGAGGAGGGATATTCAACCGATTGTTTTGATGTTTCTTCTTGTTTCAACCACCACCAGGACCAGACCAAACCTCGCTGGACCAGACCTCACGGACCCTGCCTCACGGACCCTGCAGTTTCACCGTAACTTTGGCGAACCTGAGCTGGAAGTTCACCATGACCCAACAGGCTGCAGCCCTGCAGACCTACAACAACGAGCTGGTCAAATGTAAGTTATTTATCAAGTGCTGCAGTACTTTAGAATAGAGTTTCACATGCATAACTTCCTGTTTGGGTTAGCTTTCTACTATCTAGCTAGCTACTTCTGACACTTTGGGTAACTGAACAGCTAGCCACAGTTACTGCATGTATCTAGGTTGGAGGATCTAGGTAGGTTAGGAAAGAAAGAAAAGGGGGATGCATGATTCTAACTTAGTTAAAGGTATAGAAAAGGATTTTCCCAAATTTTAGGAAAGAACCTGTCCACATTTTGAACTAACGCTAAACTCTCTGGTCTTATTTGACGAGCACGTATCAGCAGAATGATTGGCAACTGGGAGGACCAATAGTCTTGATGATCCACCCGAAAGTAGAAAATCCTCCTATAGTTATACCTTTTAACTATTGGAATAATGTCATTACAATAGTTAAAAGGTATAACTATTGTAATGACATTATTCCCTGAGCCTGCTCGGTAGATGCTCAATACATTCAAAGTAATAATGCTCTTTTTGATTCAGGTGTAGAATATGTTGGTACCAATAGCTAATAGGTGAATCTATTCCCATGTTAAAATATAAGTAGGCTGTGTTGTGTATTATTGCAGAGAAATGAGCTGCACGATGCTGATTAAGCAGATAGTGGCATCACATTAAAACATGTTAAATCTTTTCTTTAACTGGACCAAGCATATGTGAGACATGCAGGTATTGGACACTCCAGCAGAATATCATCATGTGTTCTTTTAAAGCTGGGGTGAGTAACTTTAAATTCAAATAGAACAATTTAATCTTTGTGCTCAAACAGTTTGCTTCCATCACTAGTCTTCTTAGGAATGATTTTTTTTGGCCTCTGTCACATCTATAGTATAGTATAGTATAGTTTAGTACAAATTTATTTCAAACGTTACGCAAAAGAAAACAATATAAACAACATAAATTAAAAGTTAAATTGTCGTCTGAGAAAAAGACAACATTTTACCTTTACAAATATGGCCTCTCACCAAAATAAATCTGACTTTGAGCAAAGGGACTGGCCTCCTGCTGGTGCCCAGAGTGAGGACTAAGCATGGGGCAGCTTTTCACATACATGTAGCTATAATCTGAAATAGTCTTCACCTCAACCCCGTTCAGGTGTTGAGGACCTGTGTTCGAAGCGCGAGGAGCTGAACCGTCAGATCCATCAGGAGGAGGAGGAGAAGGAGCGTCTGCAGCACGACATCCGCGTCCTGTCGGAGAAACTGAGCCGCGTGAACGAGAGCCTAGCGCAGAGACTCGCGGCACGGGCCACGTTCGACCGCACCATCGCAGAGACCGAGGCCGCCTACACCAAGGTGAGAAGTTAGATTACATTCAGCCTGTCGCGGCAACGCACTTTGGTGGGTAACATGAGAGAATATGTTAAGGATGATTTTTTTTTCTCACTATATATATGGTTCAAAGGTTTTGTTAAGTCCTCTTAAATAACTACTGTGATTTAGGGCTATACAAGAATACATTGTATTGTATTGTATAAATGTCGTTGAACGTGGAGTGTCCTGGATCATCACCACTGTCCTTAGACCCTCCTGCATCAGAGGGGAACAAAAAAAAACCCAGTGGTGAAAGAAGTCCTCCCTCCCACATTGAGTGAGGCAGGGAGGCCCCGACTCCCAGCATGCCTCTGTGATGAGACAGAGTTATTAAAGAACAACAGCGCCGGGCCCCTGAGATGATGAAAACACAACACGACTCTGACCCACACTCGACAGTCCGACTCCGCATCACAGCCTAACGCTGTCTTTTTACCCATTCATTATGACATGTTTATATTTTGATACTTTGTTTTGGAGAATTTCGTCTGCAGGGTTAAATGAAGTATCTATCTAATTTTGTTTTGAGAATAAGGGTTCGAAGCAGGGTATTTCTTTCCCCATCCAAATTATCTATTGAAACTAAATAAAATATACAATGATAATAATGATTGACATTTCCACTGAGGGACAAAGAAATATATATGTCATAGTTGGGCACAATACAGCAAAATAGGAGACATAAGAGACACATCAAATTGCACACATATTATTTAAGAATAAAATAATATGATAAACTATTGAGTAATAATATACGTACATATATTTAGATAAATTAATAAGGACACAAAAAAACCCATACGAATTCATTGTGATATTATTCTGTATTTTTAAATATTTTATGGTATTTTTCTAATGCAGGAGTCTTACAAGGCGCCATTTAGATAAGATTATCATAACTCTACTGCAGATAAAGAGAGATGCGAGTTTTGTTTCGAGTACGTACTTTCGCTGTACTGTGTGTGTGTTTGTGTGTCCGGATGTTTGAACTGTGTGTGTTGTTGTGTTGTGGTCAGATCCTGGAGAGTTCCCAGTCGCTCCTCAGCGTTCTGAAACAGGAGGCGGGAAACCTGAGCCGAGCCACGGAGCCGCGACGCAAAGACCACTGACGTTTTGCACTGGACCCTGAACGCCTCACGGACGATGGACTTGCTTTTAGCCGTTTTATCTCATACCTCATGGTTTTGTAAATGACACATGTAACATTCCAAATAAAATTGTTAAATAAAACTGTGGCTTTTAAAAACACCCTTTTAACACAGAGACGTTTTAGAAAGAGGCAACGACACAAGACAAGGACTTGAAATTATATATTTATGATGTGGCTATACCTGCGTGTGAAAGGTATGCCTGGTTAGTGCTGTGATGAAAGACCTCTGGCGTCGTGTCCTTAGGCAAGACACTTCATCCCACATTGCCTTGAATGAGTCTGGTGTGTGTGTGAATGGTTGGTGGTGGTTGGAGACAAAACTGAAATATTGCAGCCCAGTCAGTTCAAGTCTATTTATTCATCTTTCATTTGTACACATTGACATTTTTTTGAATTTACCATAAAATCATTGACAACATTTTACAGTGAGGACAGATTTACAGAAAGAAGAGATGAGCCACACACAGCCATAGAATCAGTCTCTTTTCACCCAGCTGCTACAAAGTGGAAACCTAGTGGTTATTTTCAATAATTTTGATTTACCGATGAGTTATTGTAATAGTATGAGGTCATTAGGAACACGCTTGGAAATTGGAATTTTTGCAGAGAAGGAAGATATCTATTCTTCCAGTTTGTATTGTGTAGACTAATCATTTCTATAGTCCAACTAATTTAAGTCAAAAAAGTGAAAATGACCCTTTCTTTCTCTCTCTCATTCTGTGTGCAAAACAAAGCCAGAACAGAACAGTGCAAAGACGATCACCTTCCGGACACACGCTGACAAATAAAAATTTACAGCAGCAACAAAAAACACACATAGACGATCTTTAAAAAAAAAAAAAAAGAGAAATTATCAACATATGGACAAAGCTGTACAAGCAATACTGGTCTGAGAGGGTTGGATCCGTTGGCATTTGTGAGGAGTACAAAAACTTGGTGCGTTTTACATGTATATAAAAAAAATCATTTGTTTTAAAAAGGAATTACATCATTTTTAAATACACAGCTTGTCGTGGTCAGTCACAAGCATATCCGCTTACACCGCAATAAACAACTCCAACTCAAAATATCCCACTTTTTTGAGTAGTTTTGGCAGAGTTATGATTTATTAATTTTTAGTAAGTTTGTACTGGATAGTGGATGAATAGTTAAATCCAGGTTTAAAACTGTTGTAGTCACAGCCAAACAACAGACACTTCACTCTTTCTAATGTACTGTGATTATTTACGTGCCATTTGTGACCTTTTCTATCTTGTTTTGTTCAGCATGTTGGGTTGCCCTGTGTATGAACTGTGCTATACATATAAACTATACAATTATGACGTGTACATGTGACCTGTAATCTTGGTACGACTAAACTACTGCTTGAGTGTCATGTTTTGAATCACAGTTGTTTATTTTGCGGTGTATTTTAACATAACAGTGGAATGTGAAAGTACATGCGGCTCTATTGGAAAACAAAGAATCGGTTTGTTTGAAAAGAAATGTTAACAAATCCCCAAATTCATAACTGTACGCGTCGGTTATAACACTTGGACTCCCAGAAATCTTTTTAAAAAATCCTCCAAAAAGTTAGTTTTTCACCAGTTTTCTAAAAGTAAAGTCATTTATTATAGCTTTACTTTAACTAGTTACTTTAACTACTTTTACTATCACTAAGTGCTAAAACTGGTTAATTGAATTCAAAATACAGCAAAAGGTGTGTTTACAGGCTAATGCTAAAGACCAAATGTTAACGTCGACAGTAAACGGTGTGTTGCTATCATGGTTGCTATGGCTTTAACTGCCAAAGAATGTTGGTTGCCATGGGACCAAAGATGGCTACATTTTACTTTGGAGTGGTAGAACTAGATCAGGAAAGATCATCCAAAAGAAGGACATAGAAACAGTCAACATACGGACATGAAGACCAAAAATGTACATAAGCAGAGCAATAACGCTTCCAAAAATAAATTGACTGCTGTGGGAGTCCTAGTGTTAAAGGTGAAACGGTTGCGGTGAGAGTGGACCAGAGCCTCGCCCCGTGGCAGCGTTTGGAACACGGCTGTAAACGGTATTTTTAAGGCTGCAGAAGGAAACGAGTTAAAATACAAAAGAAAGTTATGCTAATTTTGATAATGCTAATGGTCATAGAAGTCCTTTTAAACAAGACAAGGTTCTGACGTGACGTGAGTGGTGAAACTAGGGAACCATGAAAGTATCTCTTTACAGACTTTAAAATGTAGGAAGTGCTCATTGACAAAGTTTCGCTCTGGCCCCTATCGACTTTGAGAAGTAAACTCCTCTCACAGAAGTTTAGCGCTCTTTGTGATCCTGGTGTTTGTATTGTGATAATATTATCACAGTTCTGCAATTACAGGTCATGGTGTTAGTAGAGTGTAATTTCACATTTTTCCACTAGATGGGAGTGCTCTACTAATCCAGGACTTTTTTTCTACACGTTCATCCATGTATTTACTTCTCGAACTATTTCACTTTCTAATACACAAAATGTACAGATTCTCAAGACTATGGACTATACGCGTTCATAACATAAGTAGATAAAATAGTCACTGTAATTTGACAGAGTACCATATTCTGTAAAATGTGTGCCCCCCTGACCCGGCAACAAATGAAGTGGAAGAACATTTATGGATGGATTTTTGCCCATTCTTCAGAGATCAACATACACTTAAATTTTTTCAGCAGCTGGTTTTCACGGTTCTGCTCACAATTTTAGAAATATAGACACAAAATCTTATCACACGTCTTCAGTGAAACCCCGTCTCATCTGCGGACCAATGGGGTCTTTGGATATTTATACACAATAAGTAGGTTTGTTAAGCCAGATTTTTACCTTCAAAAACCAAAATCTGTGTGAAGAAGGCACTCGCGCTCCTGGAGATTGTGCTCTCCAAAAGGGAAAGAGGAAATATTTTTTTTTTCTCTTTCTCAGTCGCCATGAAGCTAAACTCAGTTAAGGGGGCTCTGGTCCAAAGACTTAAGCAGTGGTGGAAAAGTACAAGAGTCAACGCATTAACAGCACATTACAGGGATATAATGTGGGTAATATGATTATACTTGTTATAATTTCCTGAAAACAACAAATCATTTTCTTCCCATTAACTTTAGGCTCGTCAAAAGTAACACAAATCAGATTAATTTCTATCTCATTGAAACTACATATTCAATGTAGCATGTATAAATATAAAAAAATACACAAAAACAGGACAAAATTGGCCTTTTTTGACCAGTTTAAGAAAGATTGTATCCATCTTTGAGCTAAGCTACTATAAGACCTTGAAGAACCACAAAAAGTAAGTTTTTCTTTTTTTTTAACAATTCTTTAGTTAAGTAAAAAAATCTCACTATCCAATTTTTTTCAGAAACAAAATCCTTCTCATTGATTGGTTGTGTGGTGCTTTGAGTTTCATTTGACGATGTATGTAGCTGCATGGATCCTTGCACTTCAAATGTACTTTTTCCACCACTGCATACCGACTAGAACAAATAGAAAAAGATCAAAAAGAGCCAGTCTTACCGTCATAACACACATGTTTAACCAAGGACACTTCTGCACGGTTCAAAAAGAGATGCTACAGTCCTCTGGCGATGCATAAACGCTTACAAAACGCCCACTTTGCGTCCAAAAAAGTACAAAAAACCCCATTACATGCAGGTACAAAAAGACGAAATGGCAACAAAGTGTCCGTGTCCTGTTCCACAAGGAGTTTGACGATCCCCCGCCACATCCTTTGTCATCGTAACACTGAACTTACCGTGGCGCCGGTTCGAAAGGCCTCCTGCACATTCAAGTTTGTCAGAGCTACAGCGGAAGAGAAGCAGGGAAACCGCACGTAGACTGGGCAAAGATGGACCCCGCGGTGGTCTGGTCTGCCTTCCCCAAGCGGACCAGCCCAGCGTAGAAATATTGAGTCCAAAATGCGCTGATTTGAGTAACAAAGACATACAGCTGGGATATCCAACTTTAAAATCACAACAAATATTAAACTATGTATTCAAATCCATAGTTCCTTGCACTCTACTTTCACTAGAGTTTGTTTTTGGTCTCTGTCACACTTTTAGATCAGCTTTTTCAGACCAAAAAGTGAAATAGAAGACCACCCTTACTCAGCCAATCAGCTCTCAACTCAAAATGTCAAATAGTGACTTACAGGGCTGGCTCAAGTAGAAGTAAGAAAAACCTTTATTATTGTCCTCGCAGGGAAATGTGTCCTCTGCATTTGACCCATCCTTCACTGCCTCTAGGGTCAGTCAGAAGCAGTGGATTTCCAGAAAGGCCTTGTTCTGACCAGGATTCAAACCCAGGACCTTCTTTTGCTGAGATGCGAGAGTGCTAACCACTCAGCCACATGTTTTCCCATAAGATGAAACAACACGTACCATTTGTGAGAACAAAAGTTAGATATCCCAGCTTTAACACAAACTTTTGGATTGGTAGAAGTAGCTTAGTCCTAATACAACCACCATAACGTTTGTATTTGTCGTTTCTCTTCTATAATAAGACATTATTGTTGGTGTTAGACAGTCCCAATTTACCAAAGTCATATTCTGCATTGTGTGTATTCATTTGGCCTTATTATATTTAAATATACTAAAACCAAGATAAACGCTGCTCGATTCAAGCAAATATGACCCTAAAGTGTCTCTTTCTTCGGACCGATGGGGTTTCTCAAATCCAAAACCTTCCTTGCTTCTGGAGACAAACCAAAGACCTGATCAGAGCCAGCTAAAGGCCAATGCGCACACAAAGCGGGTTGGATGTGCCGATTGGCTCTTTGGTTGCCGGGTAGTTGCTATGAGAGAATTTGGCCGCATAGAGCCTGTTTGAAAAAGCCAAGCGCTGTCTGTCCACTCCGCCGAAGGTGTCAAACCTGTTCCAGACTACAGGTTTTCCTTCCAACCAAGTAGGTCAACAAGACTCCGCTCGTTTCGTCAAGTGAGTCCAGTCTCAACCTGAAGACCTGATGAAGTGAGTGGAGTTGGAGAGCCCTAAACTATAGTAATGCTCTCAAGTGTGCGTTGGCCTCGAGTGGATGATACAAGCTTCTCCTGATCGTAAATCTCAAAATCACATGTCTTTGTTTGAGCGTGCGTCTCCAGACATGCTTTCTCACAGATGTCTCCTTTAATATTTTCCTTCAACTTAGCCCAAACTGTTAGCTTGTGTGGTTTTGTGAAAATGAGTGACTTCCGGTGCTGGTTCATTCTGGCAGTGATCATTTTTACAACAGTCTACAGACAGATCCAAAGAGAGCGAGGCGTCCACAGTGAGAGGAGCTTTGCCTGGGCCTGACAAGACAGCCTCTGGTGCCTGGTTTGTTGTCTCTGGTCCCTGGCAGTTGTGGCTACAGTGGTTTTTAGAGATTCAGAAGTACAGCGCTGGTTCACTGCTGAAGTCTGAGAGGGACGAGCTGTCGGCTGGGGTCAACTGTGAGAGAAAAGAAAGAAAAACGGCTCAATGTCATTACGAGACAACACAAATAGTTAGATTTTTAAACTGTCACATCATTGAGGCACTCTGGGGACATCTCAAGTGTAGTTAGTGCAAAAACGCCCAGGAATTTACAGGAAATGAACTGGAGGATTATTGCCGAGAAGAATGGGCAGCTTTAACATCAGAGAGAGAAGCCAGAGAGAGAGAGAGACTAGAGAGAGGCAAGAGAGACCGGAAAGAGATAGAAAACAGAAAGACCAGAAATAGAGACCAGAGATAGAGACCAGAGTGAGAGACCAGAGCGAGAGACCAGAGCGAGAGACCAGAGCGAGAGACCAGAGCGAGAGACCAGAGATGGAGACCAGAGCGAGAGACCAGAGCGAGAGACCAGAGATGGAGACCAGAGATGGAGACCAGAGATGGAGACTAGAGATGGAGACCAGAGATGGAGACCAGAGATGGAGACCAGAGATGGAGACCAGAGCGAGAGACCAGAGCGAGAGACCAGAGATGGAGACCAGAGATGGAGACTAGAGATGGAGACCAGAGATGGAGACCAGAGATAGAGACCAGAGCGAGAGACCAGAGCCAGAGACCAGAGCGAAAGACCAGAGAGGGAGACCAGAGACAGAGGGGCCAGAGATGAAGACCAGAGTGAGAGACTAGAGATGGAGACCAGTGATGGAGACCAGAAAGAGAGACCAGAGAGAGAGACCAGAGTGAGAAACCAGAGTGAGAGACCAGTGAGAAAGAACAGAGAAAGAGCCCAGAGAGAGAGAGAGACCAGAGACCACAAAAGACCCCTCACTGCCATAGATGATAAAGTGGAAATACAGGCCACTGAGAACTGGGGGATGGAGACTTCTGCTCAGGGTCAGATTCCTGGGTTGTGCCTGGTCGTGTAAACTGTAAAAACTTGGAAAACCTCGGTAACAGCCTCACCATGACGTCGTCCGTGTGCGTGGGCTGCGGCTCTTCCCGGTGTGCAATCTCCTCCTCCCTCTGCTCCTGCCACGTGCTGTAGTCCACCGCGTGTTTGGGAATGTAGTTCGAGAGATCTGTAGCAAAAACAAAAAAAAACACCAGCTCTTAGATTGGAAGCGAGATTTATACAATGGAAGCAAATATCTTTTTTCAGCCGTCTTAATAAACAAACTTTTTTTTATCTTAACTGCAAAAAATGGTATTAAATGGCACTTTTTGCAGTGAGTTTATCCTGTCTGTCTTAAAACACGATTTGCCAACGGGACAAAGCCCTTTAGTCTTTTATATTTTTTTCTCATTCGAAGGGAGAGTAAATGGGTCAAATACATACTACTACACATACTTTCTACATACTCCAGTAGTGCCTTGAGTCTGAGGTGGTAGTCTGCAGCACTGGGGCCCCTCAGGGCACTGTCCTCTCACCGTTTCTCTTCACCATCTACACTTCAGACTTCACACACGACACACACAGCTGTCACCTGCAGAAGTTCTCCGACGACTCCGCCATCGTGGGCTGTGTGTCTGAGGGGAACGAACTGGAATATCGGTCGGTTATCAAGGATTTGTCGACTGGTGTGAGCGCAACCACTTGTGCTTGAACACCAGTAAGACCAAGGAGATGGTCATCGACTTCAGGAGAAAACCACTTTCCCACACGCTGCTGAACATCCAGGGGGAGGACATTGAGCTGGTGGACAGCTTCAAGTACCTGGGTGTTCACATTAACAATAAACTGGACTGGTCCCATAATACAAACGCCCTGCACAAAAAGGGCCAAAGTCGCCTCTTCCTTCTGAGGAGGCTGAGGTCCTTCGGAGTGAGCAGGCCTCTGCTCAGGACTTTTTATGACTCTGTGGTAGCTTCTGCCATTTACTACGCTGCCGTGTGCTGGGCCCCGGGCAGCACAGAGCGGGACAGAAACAGACTGAACAAGCTGGTCAGGAGGGCCAGCTCCACTCTGGGCTGCTCCCTGGACTCTGTGGAGGAGGTGAGGGACAGCAGGGTGCTAGCCAAAGCCACCTCCAGCATGAACAATACCTCCCACCCACTGCACAGGACTGTAGAGGAGCTGAGGAGCTCCTTCAGTGGAAGACTGAGGCACCCTCAGTGTAGGAAGGAGCGCTACCACAGGGCCTTTATCCCCACCGCTGTCAGACTGTACAATAAGTCACTTTAAATGATCACTGTGTGAAAATCTGCACTACTATTGACACGGTTTCCAATTGACACTTGTCACTTTTGTTGTACATAATTATTGTCACTTTATTGTACATATATATATCCTGCATGTAACATGTTTGCACATTTCCTCCCTTTGCACAATCTGAGTGTTCTATCCATGCCAAATGTGACATGTAAATTTCTCCTCTGTGAGATAAATAAAGCAATCTTATCTTATCTTCATGATGCAGTCAGTAAGGTGTAATACTACAGTCATCCACTAGAGGTCCTCCCATCCACACAATAAATTCACATAACACTCTGAAAGTTCAAGTTAATATTTTCAATGGGACTAAAAAGAACTGACATTAACAAACAAGCAAGCAAATGTAGTCTAATGGAGCTTAGAGTAGAGCCGCTGCTTCAGGTGGCAGTGACTCCGCAATGGATGAAGCGGAAGCAAATGGATGGCTCTCTAACCTCGGGTGTCCCAAAAGGATTTTCAAGACAAAATGTAAATAAAACAGGCTTCACATGGTACTTCTCCTGTCATCATTCTTTTTCTGGTATTTTTTTTTACTTCGTTTTTTTGTTCTTTTTTTCCATTCTGTGAAACGCTGATAACTCTGGAGGACTCACCGACACAAGCGCCCATTATGAAGAGAAAATAAAAATCCACAAAGACACCACATTATGACATCTATGGTCATCTGCAGCTTATCGATCTATGTGGTTTTTTTAATCATTGCATTTCCTATGTTTGAACGGTTTGATTCTCTGATGTGTGTTGGAAAAAAGACAACTTTGTAAACTCCCCGAGATAAGTACTGTTGTGATTTAGAGCTATTCAATGCCATTCAGTTATTTTTTTGTATAGCCCTAAATCCAAACAGTAGTTATCTCGGAGGACATAACACAACCTTCAAATTCTCCAACACAAATCAGAGAATCAAACAGTTAAATTAAAACACAGGAAATGCAATTATGAAAAAACACACACATAGAGCCATTGGTCTATAACGGCAGATGACCAATGTCCATATATGTTGATAAAGCCCATTAATGTCGAACATGGCAACGGTCTGTGAGGGGACCCACCGTTGGTCTGGCCTGGGACTGAGGCGCGGGGGATGTGGATTCGTCCCACCACACTGGGCGGATCGTCGGGACTGTCCCCTCGCTCGTCCTCCTCGCTGTCCCACGCGCTGCTCTCGCTCGGGTACTCGTAGGTGCTCTGCAGACTCGACTCGTTGAAGGAAATCTTCAGCTGAAAAACACAAAAACACGAAACGTTATGAAGACTTTCTGTACAGTCGTGGTTGAACTGGGGCCTCAAACACTTGTACGTTTATTTATATTGCACAGGTCATACACAAGGCAACTCTACAGCCTCAGTCCCGGGTCTACAGCCTCAGTCCTGGGTCTACAGGCTCAAACCTGGATCCGCAGCCTCAGTCCTCGGTCTACAGCCGCAGTCCTGGATAATAATAATAATAATAATAAGGAAAGGGCCAATAATAACAAATACATAAAAAGGGCCTGGGTAAGCTTTAATTCACAATTACAGATATTTTCTCAAACAAATCTAAAGCCTACAATCTTTCTTATATGGAGAAAATAATAATAATAATAATAAATAAAAATAAAGAAATTAAAAGACAAGAGTTTAAAAATTAAAAAATAAAGGTAATCATAGAGCCTACAGTATAGACTCTCCTCCACACTGGTCTAGTCCCACTTCCTGGGCCGCACTCGTCCTGCAGAAGGGCCTCTTGTCGCGGGGCCAAATGTATTTAGTGAAAACAAACAGGCTATTGATTGTGTTGCGCATGAAGAGCTGCTGAAGAGTGAACATTAACAATTATGAGGTTGTTTCGCAGCGTCTTTATTGTGCTGAAGTGACCACAGAAGAGGAGGCTTTCCATTTGATAAAGTCAGATAAAAAAAAAACGTGTATTTGAGATTTATGGACTTTAGCGTTTTACTTTTGGAGACTTTTGTTTTAATAGGTTGTGTTATTTGTCAGTATGTAGCCGCTACTCATTTCAAGTCCTTTTAACAAGTGTTCCTCAACCTTTTTCAGCTGTGGCACATTGAAAACATTGAAAACTATCACATGGCACCAGCTGAAACAAACTGAAACTTATGAAAATGTCTTTGCCTAGTTAATGAAGGCCGCAAAGTGTATCCAGAAATCCAAATAAGCACAAAATAAGTCTTTCCAATTGTCATCATTTTCATTTTACATTAATTCGACCAATAAGCTAATCACCAAACATTATCTCAAGGCGCACTAATATGCCATGGCACACTGGTTGAAAAACACTGCTTTTAACCATGTGACTTATACAGTGATGCGGCTAATGTAAGAATTATAGAGTTGGGCTGTTGTCATAGCAGAGTTTATGGATTTATTATTTTGACTCCAAGTTTTAGTAGCTACAAGGCACTGGTTTATGGTCAAAATAGACAAAGGTGAATGAGTGATGGAAGCGAACGGTAAGCTGTTAAATGCCTCTTCATTATTTCATGTTGTGACCAGTTAAAACAGTCTCTCTGCTACATTACATGAAAACCTGCGGCTTATATTCAGGTGCGGCCTGTATACGGACAACATGTACTTTCTTTAAAATGTTGCTGGTGCGGCTTATATACAGGTGCGGCATTTAGTCCAGAAAGTAGTACTCACTTCATCATATACACCCAGTCCAGATGTTAAAGTTACATTGTATAAGACTGTGCTCTCCAACCTGTGGCTCAGGAGATACCAGTAGGGAACTACATGATTCTAAATGATCCTAAATGATTACTTTTTGAGTCATTGCATATCTTCAGTGAAAAAAAATAAACATAACATATGAGGTAATAATTGCTGGAATTGAGTGTTATAAAAAAATCTTAATAAGAGTTAATTCTGACTGAGTTCAAACAAGATTTGCCTATGGGACAAAGCCATTCAGTCTTTATTCAAGAACTTTTGCTTTATTTTCTCATTCATTCCAATGGAGACAGTTCTTGTATCCTTTTAAATAACATTTAAAATTTTCCAATTGGCAGTCAAAAAATGCTCAAATTAAGACAATGTTTGACTTTTTAATCTAACTGTAGGTGTTCTATTCACTAATATAGGGTTTTACAGTAATGTTGTCCATGATCTGTTGCAGTTATTACATAGACTAGGGGTGTCCAAACTTTTTAGTAATAGGGCCTCTGCAGTTGACCAGAGAACAGCTTTGACTGGATCAGGCTGTTCTGAGATATAAAATGAGCAATGATAAGTCCAAAACAGATTCACATTTGACAAACGTTTACTAGTCCCTATATCTCAGAGCTACATTAACGCTGCATATGGCACTCTGGGTGTGAGCTTCACAACGAGGTCTATAACGGTGGAGCTGAAGTTGGATGACTCTGTGAATGTTTATGATCTTAATGGCTAATATGGGTTAGCAAGGCAGAGGGCCATTGGACATACCACATGGGGCCGCAATTGGCTCCCGGGCCTTAGTTTGGACATACCTGACATAGAATATACTTTTATTACTACTGCCAAAAATGACTACAGCCATTTCTGTAGCTCTCCAAACGCTACATGTTTGAGACCCCTGTAATAAGACAATCATTTCTTATACAATGGACTTGAACGAACGGCGAGTGAATGTGTGTCTTGTGCAGATAAGTCTGAGAGCACGCAGTCTTTCAGTGTTTGTGACGTCTCCAGGTGCCATTGTCTTTGCCCTTGTCTTTCTGAACAGCGGTGGTTTTGATGGGATGCCGTGGCTGAATGGGAGCGATAGGATTACAGGGGATTTGGCGCGTTTAGCATGAATGAGCTGTGATGGTGTGAGCGTGATTGGCTGCTCGGGACCCCAGCTCTCGCAAAGCCGCTATGATCCGGTCCATGAGACAGATGCCCAGGATTCTGACTCTGCTCATCAGGGAGAGATCTGGAGAACGTTTATGAAGCGAAAGGTGAAGGACATGGAACAATACGAGATTCAAACGAGACTCACACCACACCTTCTGGTTCGAGTCTCGTCTGAAGTCACATTTTTATTCTCTGGCTTTTAAACACTGCGTGACTTGTATGGTCCCTTTATTTTATTTTGTTTTATTTTACATCTATTTGGTTTCATCCCGTTTTATAAAATGTAAATAATTTTTAGTTTTTTCATAATTCAACGTATTTTTAAATGATGTTTCACTCTTTCATTGTGCAGCACTTTGGAAAGTGTGTTTATGAAATATCCCCCCCAACCCCTTCTGTCCAAATACTCAGTTTTCAAACTATTATGTGCCTAAAAGAGACAAAGTAACCGATGTTCACATGTATTATTAACACTAGGACTCCCAGGGCCGTCATTTTGACTGCTCCATTCAAACCAATGGCATTCTGAGAAAATCAGAGCCAGTTCAGGACCAGCACTGTGAAAAAGGCTTTAATTACCATTGCATGTTGGTCGTCACTTGCCACGCGACAAAAAATGGCATTAGAATTTGAGTAAAATGAAAGGAACAGTCAAAACGACAGCTGTGGGAGTTAAAGGGTACAAATAAATAAACTACATATGATACATTTTATACTTGTCCTTTGATGCCTTCGAGTTAGAGATTTTGTTTTATTCTAATTAGTATGGCCATTGTTCACTTATCTTGTGCTGTGTGCTCCACATTCCTACTGCTCTGTAACTTGTGATGCAACACTGAAATTTCCCCATTGTGGAACAAAAAAAGGATAATCTTAATCTCAAAATCACAAAAGTTAGGAAGAGCAAAGTCGCAATTTTTCCTTTTCGAACCAGGTACAAGTTATTTGTCTCTTATATTGATATATATGTAAAAATATGTATTGTCCAGGATATACATACATATAAATAATAATAATAATAATTCCAAATCCAAAAGCCGTCAAATTGACTGACCTGGGAGTTCTAGTGTTGCGCAAGTGAAGCATCCTAAGCTCCTCCTCCAACAGTAAAAACCAGTGGTAAAACGCCTCTACTCCTCAGATGCATTTATCCAGTTCCTTTCCGCCCATGTAATTGTGGTGACAGTTTATTCGCAGCCACATTTCCAAAGCACAATGTGCCGAGAGGAAATGTGAAAGTGGTCCATTGAAAATCTGTGAGAATGAGTTCTGAAGAGGCAGGTGGGACAAGCTGCTGCGTCTGGCTGGAGAACTGTCAACGGGTAAAAATAGATGAAACATATGGTCTGGAAAAGCCCAAAGTGAGCGACCCAGACCCTGCCGCACCATCGGAAACTCTGGCACCACCGAGTTACTTATGGAGGGAGGGTTAAAGGAGAGATTATACTCAATTAACCATTTTGTCATCGCTCAGAGAAAAAGAGCGATGAGGTTCCGCAGGTCTTTCCTTCCTGCTGCTGTCAGACTGTACAACGAACAATGAGGACGAACCAACACTGCCGACCAGACCTCACGTGTCACATGCATCGGTGCAATATCTTTAACTAATATCAGAATGGGCAATATAGAACCATATGTGTCCACTATAGCTCTGATTAGACATGATTACTACTACTTGCACTACAATATACAGTACTTTATACTTGCTTCTTATTATGCCAAAGGTAGAGATTGTATATTTCTTTATTACGCTAACGTCAGAGTTTTTGTACTCATGCTAAATCCAGATTAATTGATACTTGTTTCTTGTTCATGCTAGAGCAAGAGATTTTATTTAATTTTATATTATTTAATATAGAGTTGTTAATTTCCCCACTGTGGGACGAATAGAGGAGCCCTAATCTTAATCTTAATTTGAAAAGATCGACTCGATTTTGTTGTTCATTCACACTAGGGATGCAGCCCAAGAACGCAATACCCCCTGTGAAGCATGGGGGTGGGATATTAATTGTACTTGTACATATTGCACTGTACAAGTGCAATATTTCCTTTTTCTTGTGAAAAAAGCCACTGTTGGTTTGTATAAAGTATGTGAGCAGTGTAGTAAAAGTACCGACATGTTTACACGCCGCCTACATGCCGACAGCTCCTGCTCCATCTGAAGAGCCCTCTCTGAAAACACAAAGAGTCCACCGCTGAGAGGAGTAAAAAATAGACTGAGGGAATGAATAATTCTCGTGCACATTTGTGACCTTTTACGAGAATCGTGTCGTGTTTTTCTTTGTGCCTCTGATCGCAGCCGGATGTATGGACTGAGGTTACAGCCGCGTTCTCTCAGTGCAAGAGCCGTGTGCGTGTGTGTGTGTGCGTGCGTGCGTGTGTGTGGTGTGATTTATTCA